AAAGCATGGCCACCTTTTCTTCATATTTATAAGCCATGTTTGTTTCGTACAACTCTAATGCAGTCATTTCATTTTCTGAAGAGACTTCTCATTCTCTTGAAACACTCTTTGTCTACAATTACACCTAGCATTAAACCTCTTAACTGCAACTTCACATTATGTGGTGTAGTCTCATTCCATATCATAATAACTCAAAACATTATTGTTTACTACTTTTATCACAAAACGATTTCTTTGTCCTCTTACCTTCCAAAACAATAGTGTGGACCAATGGTTAACAACCACAACTACTTATTTTCACATGGAGATGTTGAAAAGAAGAATCATAATGCATAGTGGTAGTGTTGTCTACTCAGGGCTGTATTACTTTGTGTCTTCTCCTATGACATTATATATAGCTATACTCTTTTCTTGCTAATAAAAACTTACATTTGTTAGTGTTATCTACAATTCTACATAAGCTATGTACAAGGGAAGATTTTGCACTTCTGGTGGGATTAAGGCTCCACTTGTATATGTTGAAACTGATCCATCTCGTCGATACGGGCGCGTAAGTTCTCTCATCATACTTCTTTCTAAATACATATAATTATGGTATATACTAAAGCTAAATTACTATGATTTTGGTCATATAGTTTAGGGACATTCTGGGGAGAGGAGCAATGAAAACTGTGTATAGAGCATTTGATGAGTTCCTTGGCATTGAAGTTGCATGGAACCAAGTCAAGCTTGGTGATGTTTTTCATTCACCAGAGCAACTTCAACGCCTTTACTCAGAAGTTCATCTCCTTAAGCACCTCCACCATAAATCCATGATGATCTTCTATGGTTCTTGGATTGATCTCAATGGCAAAACCTTCAACTTCATCACTGAATTGTTCACCTCAGGCACACTTCGAGAGTAATCAATTTATCAACCACTTCTTATTTGTTAACGACAGAATCACAATATGTCTCCGTAATTTTGGCAGAAACTACGTTTTCAGTTAAATTACAGGATTATAGTGATTCTGTCAAATTTACTGCAGATCTAAATATTTCGCCGTCTAATTTTGTGATAACATTTACACATACATAGTTATAGGCAAAAGTATAAGAAAGTAGATATTCAAGCATTGAAGAATTGGACACGCCAAATTCTAAGTGGTTTGGAGTATTTACACACCAATAATCCTCCTGTAATACATAGAGACCTCAAATGTGATAACATATTTGTCAATGGACATAAAGGAGAGGTCAAGATTGGTGACTTAGGCCTTGCAGCTATACTTTGCAAATCCCAACTTGCTCAAAGTGTCATAGGTAAAGATATTTGAACTATAAAACTTCTAGATTACGTTTTTATAAATTAAAAATTTATATATGATGTGACGAAGAAGAAATATCAGGTACGCCAGAGTTTATGGCACCAGAACTATATGAAGAAAAATACAATGAGTTAGTAGATATATATTCTTTCGGAATGTGTATGATAGAGATGCTTACTCTCGAGCTTCCTTACAACGAGTGTTCCAACCCAGCTCAAATATACAAGAAAGTCACATCGGTAAGCTTAATCAAACCAGAAGCACTTTTGATAATCAAGTTTGATGAAGTTCATTAACAAACTTTGTCTAGTTTGATGTACTATAGGGGAAGCTACCAGATGCATTTTTCAGAATCAAAGATTTAGAAGCCCAAAGGTTTGTGGGAAGATGTTTGTCCCATGTCTCAAAGAGGCCATCAGCAAAGGAACTATTGTTGGACCCATTTTTAGCCACAGAACAACTTGAAGTTAATTCCATTCAAGCACTTGCCAATTATAATCATCTTTCTATAGGTGATCCAACAACAAATATGAAAATCACTGGATCCATAGATGAAGAGGATAACACAATTTTCCTTAAAGTGCGAATATGCGATGAAATAGGTATGCACAATTCCTTCTTGGATAAGTAATCGTTGAATCAATATCAGACGGTCAAAATTTTATTAAATCAGTATTTTATATTTTTTTCAAAATCAAACGTCGAAATAGTTACCGATATACTGATTGCGTGAATGCCTGAGTTGAAGTAATATTTGAATATAGGGAACACGAGGCTTATATTCTTTCCATTTGACACGAAAAATGACACGGCTATTAAGGTGGCGATAGAGATGGTAGAAGAACTTGAATTTAGTCATTTGGAACCATTGGAGATTGCTACAATGATAGATAATGAGATATCAAAATTATTTCCAACTTGGATGGGTATTCATGGCAAGTATGAACATCAACTACAACATAGCTTCAACTACGAAGAAGACGAGGATGTTCATAACCATAATCCTTTCGTAGTATCATCATCATCTTGTCCTTCTTCCCCTCATGATTCTCCAAGCTCAATGAACTCCTACAACAACAAGTGTTCGAGTTTCAGATATCATGAAGATGAGCATGGCCAAACAATAGAAGAAGATGGTGAAGCAAAACACAACAGGCTAAGATCTAGTAGATGTGGTGGAGGTGAGTCGAGCCATCGCGGATGGTCGAGGATAATGAAGAATGGTTCAAAAATGGAGGAGCATAGGAGCATGCAGCTTCAAAGATGGGAACTATTGGAAGAGGTGTACAAGAGAAGGATGTCCAACACGGTTGCTACCATGGAGGGGATTGGATTTTAACATCCAGATGGAGGTGGACATCATCGAGCTTGTTGAGGCTTTATATACAAGATTGCAATTTGAAAAACTTTTATATGATTGTATGTGTTCGTGGCTGCCTTGAAACACGTTTCTTTTTAATGTTTGATGTGTGGAAGTATTTATAATTGAAGTATATTTGTGTAATAAATTTATGTGTTTGTTTAGTAAAAAAAACACTCAAGTTAGCTTTCCAACAAGCAAGGTCAGAGTCAATTAACTCAGAAACATAAGCCTCTTGAAAAGATCCCGCCTGCCACTTATCACTTTGAAATTCACATTCTTCGGGAGCCAATTATCCATCCACACTTTGACTTTAGAACCATCACCTATTCTCCACCGGGAACCCACTAACACCACCTCTCTAGCATAGAGGATACTTTTCGAGACATGGCTTGGCTCATAGCCTTCCTTGGCCTCTTGGATTGAACATCGAGGAAAGTACCTGCACTTAAGGACTTCTGAAAGGAGGCTGCTTTTTCACGTCAAAATTCTCCAGAAGTGTTTGCGCAGAAGGCTCAGATTGAAATCAGAAATCCCTCTAAAACCCTTCCCCCTTCTCCTTTGGACACCGCAAGTTTCTCCCAGCTGGCCCAGTGTATCTTCCTCTCACATTCTCTTGAACCCCACCAGAACTTTGACATCATACTCTTCAAATCTATGGGTGTTTAAATCCAATCCATTCCAAAAAAGAAATCGAAAATCGAACCAAAAAAACTAAATTTTTTAGAATGTATTTGGATCATTTAATAGCACAATTGATCAGTTCGGATTGGTTTTCAGTTGACTATATGAAAACCGAACCGATCTAAACCGAACCAAAATATTTTTTCTATTTATTTTTATTTTATCATCATTTATTAAATATAATGAATATGTATTTCAAAAAAAAAATCTAAAAACATTAGAATTATTTCACCGTTTTATAAATGTCTTTTCCTAAAATATAATCAATATTAAATATAATAGATGTAATAAATATGAGATTTTATTGAAAAACATGTTTCAGTGGCCAAAATATAATAAATATTAAACACGTTTTTATTTCAACATTTGCATATTTTACATTTTGTTTAATATAATCTCATTCTTCCCTAAAATATAATAAATATTAAATATAATAAACGTTATTTTATTAGAAAACATATTTCAATAGCCACACAAATTACTGCTAACGGCATTTCATTTCATCTCCTCTCTCGATGAATCTTCAATCTTATTTAAATCATTTTCTCTTATTTCAATTCGTCTCTCCCAATTCATTGCCAACATTCTGTATAATTATTTCAATAGGTACACTATTTTTAAATGATGCTGATTATATAATTATTGACTAATTTCCTTTTGTTTGTTAAAACAAAATCAAACAAAAAAATGCTTAATTTCTTTTTTTTTAAACTATATTAAGTTCTAATTAAAATAAAATTTTAAATGATTTAAAAGTATTTATGCAATTTTTGTTTTAAAAACCGAATAAAATTGAACCAATTGAACCGAAGTAAACTGCATAAATTGGATCAGATTGGATCGAATTTTGTTTTTAGTCATCCAAAAATCGAACTAAACCGTATGCTCTTTATATCTTTGAGTCGGATGACTTTTTGTCTCAAAATCGATCCAAACCAGACCGCAAACACCCATATCCAAATCCTTGCAGACACCTTCCGGGAGTTTGAAATAATTCATGATATAAGATGGAATTTGTTAAGCCACAACTTTGATGAGTACCTCTTTTCCTGCCCTCGATAAAACTCTTTTTTTCCACCCTTTTAACTTCTTCCCCACTCGTTCGAGCACAAGAGAGAAAACTTCTTTTTTAGATCTACCAAAAACAACTGACGGGTCTAGGTATCTCGAGTGAGATTGGACAGTCTTAATTACCATCCTATTATGGATCATTTCTATGACAAAATATGGCACATTTCGACTGAAAGAAGCTTCACATTTGTCAAGGTTAACCATTTGACCGAAAGAAACTTGGTAACGGATAGGAATCTCCAAAATTTTATCAGCTTCTGCAATGCTAGCTCTATAAAACATCATGCTATCACCAGCGAAGAAGAGATGAGAGGTTTTAGGGGCCTTTATCGCAACCTAAATACCATGGATGTTATTTGATTTTGCCTCCACCTTTAATATACCTGAAAGAACACTTGCACAAAGAATAAAAAGGTAAGGGTGTCTCCTTATCGGAGAACCCTTTCAGGAAAAAACTTTATGCTAGGTTGGCCATTGAGAATGAACTGAAAAGAGACTGAGGAAATGCACTTCATGATTAGAGCCACCAAAGAAAGCGGGAACCCCATAAATGTTAAGACTCCATCCACAAAAATCCATTACAATCTATCATATGCTTTAGACATGTCAAGGTCCAAGGCCATGGTTCCTTTCCTCCTTACTTTCTTCTTTATCATCCAATGGAAACACTCCATAGCCAGAAGAGCATTATTAGTAATGAGCCTTCCTCCAACTAAAGTACTTTGCTCAGTGTCAATAATATCAGGCAGAATATGTTTGATGTGGTTTGCTATAGTTTTAGTCACTAACTTCATAACCACGTTACACATACTTATGGGCCAAAAATCCTTGGGAACCTTAGAATTCTTGCATTTAGGGATAAGACCAATGAAAGTATGGTTTAGCTCTGACAGTTCTTTCCCGTTGTTCAAGACATCTAGCATAAGATTCTTGACATCACTACCCACGATTGGCCAGAATTTTTGGAAAAAAAAGAGTCGGTAAACCATCCGGGCCAGGAGATTTGAGAGGGTGCATTTGGAAAAGGGCCTCATCTACATCCTTATTCGAGAAACTCCCTTTGCACCAGATCTAGTGCTTTAGACTGAGTTTGTCTCTCACCACCTCACAATTCTATTAGATGTCCATAGATTGAGAAGAAACAAAAAGGTCTTCAAAATACTTGAGTAAAACTTTCTCACAGTGCTCCCAACCTCTCCTCCAAACACCATGTTCGTTTTTGAGCTTGCAGATAGCATTAACCTTTGTCTTGGTTGCTGACCAATCGGTTGTAAATGAGTTTTGAAAAAGAAACTAAAACCTGATGGAACTATTGATAAATACAAGGCTCTCCTTGTTGCCAAGGGTTTTAGATAAAGAGAAAATATAGATTTCTTTGACACATTTTCTCATATCACTAGAATTACATCCATTAGAATACTTATTTCAATAACTGCTATTTATAAGTTAATATTACACTAAATGGATGTTAAAACATTTTTTTAAATGGTTACTTATAAGAAGAAATCTATATGGAACAACCGGAAGGGTTTCTGATCTATGGGCAAGAAAACAAGGTCTGTAAGTTAGACAAGTATTTGTATGGACTAAAACAAGCTCATAAGAAACGGAATGAAAAGTTTGATAACTTAATGATATCAAATGGGTACAAAGTGAATGAAAGTGACAATCTATGTAGACGATCTACTCATATTTGGATCAAACATTCAGACCATTAATGATGTGAAATCATTGTTGTGCAACAACTTTGATATGAAAGACATCGGAGAATCAAGTGTGATCCTTGGTATCAAGATCATGAGATCCAAACAAGGAATTTCTTTAGATCAATCACACTATATGGAGAAGATCTTAAATAAATATAAATACTTTGACTGTAAACCTGCGTGCACACCATATAATCCAAGTGTGAAATTGTTTAAGAACACTGGAGAAAGTGTCAGACAATCAGAATATGCAAGCATTATTGGCAGTCTTAGGTATGCCACTGATTGTACTAGACCCGACATTGCATATGTCGTAGGATTATTATGCAGGTTTACGAGTAGGCCGAGTAAAGAGCACTGGAAAGCTATTGAGCGAGTCATGAGATACCTCAAAAGGACCATGGATCTCGGCCTACATTAACAGAAGTTTCATGTTGTACTAGAAGGGTACAGTGATGCAGATTGGAATACTTTGTCATATGATTCCAAAGCTAATAGTGGCTATATATTTAGTATAGTTGGATAAGTTGTATCTTGGAAATCAAAGAAACAAACTATCCTAGCTCAATCCACAATGGAATCAAAGAATCAAGTTGGTTGATATGCTTACTAGCTGAGATCCCTTTATGGGAAAAACCTATGCCACTGTATTGATCCACTGTGATAGTGTCGCAGCTATTGCAAAAATTAAGAACCGTTATTATAATGGTAAAAGACGTCAAATAAGAAGAAAGCACGACACTGATGAAAAATTAGCAGATCCTTTGATGAAAGGATTAGCTAGAGAGAAAGTCCATAATACATCCAAGAAGGTGGGACTAATGCCTATAAATAAATGAGTTGCTAATGATGGTAACCCGGCCTAGATGACTGGAGATCCCAAGAAATAGGTTCAATGGGTAATAACAAGTTGTGAGTAATATGAGATGATCATGCAAGTAAAGCATGAATACTAAAGTAATAAAAGGATGAGATGATAGAAGCTCTTAATGAGATCTATAAACTATATGAGGGAGTACCTAGGCTACAAGAGTACTCTTGATAGACTCACCTTTGTGATTGTGGAACTTGGGTCGGTTCCTATGGAATTGCGAGGCAGAATTTCTATAGCCTTCACTTAACTAGGATACACTTGCAGGGCCATTAAAGCACATGCTATTAGAATACACCTTAAGAAAAAGTTGTGTGCAGGTCTGATGTCTGAGATAGAGTTTAAGACAATAGTGTCACTCTTGTTAAATCAGAATCCTACTTGCTACATAAAGGTTTCAGTCGTAGACAGCTTTGCTTATGCACAATCTTAGAAATGTTTGACGTACTTCTAAAATCACCTTTTAAATTCAAGTGGGGATTGTTGGAAATCTTGGTATGATGTTAACTTGGATTCGGAATGATTTATTGACATTAAGTGGGCAATAAATGAGCACAAGTAAGAACTAGTATGAAAGTGAATTTGAAATGATTCATTTTAGTCCTGTTGTACCCCAAAATTTGTCCTCTCTTTTCTCAAGACATTTCTCACAAAGATCTTCAATAGCTCAAGCTCGCACAAAGGTTGACTAGGTCAAGACATCTCCTCAACACTAATGCCTCAAATAAGGGTTTGAATTTTCACAAGGACAATTGGACTTCTAATACTTCAAATGACTTTCATGGATCACTATGGACCTTCAAGAATGCTCATTTCAAGTTTCAAATCTTGTATCACAAATTATGCTCAGTCAATTGACCAGATGACCAAAAATCAATTATACTGATGAAAAGTCAACGAATACACCAAAAGTCAAACTTTGACTTTTTGGTCAATATTA